AATGGTGCTAGATCTTTTTAAAGATGATCCTCCTGTTCCCAGTCAAGGCTGCTCATCAACACCAACCGAATGGTCTCTGCTCTTCTGTATTAACAAGAAGAATGCATAAACAACTGCTCACGTTTTAAAAGGCCAACAGTGTGGAAATCCTTGGAGTGGGAAGCTTCCTCTCCACACAAGACATCCGCAAGCAGCTAAGTTCCACTGCACACCCAAGGAAAAAATATTGCTAACTGTTCAGTGCCAATTCTTCTAGACTTCCCCTTACATATTTAAGTTTCAATGTATGCACACACATATGTATATATATGTACATATTCATGCATTTTAACTATCAACAGGATCATACAATACATATGCTGAAACAGTTCTTTTCATTTAATAACATATACTATTGACAATCTTTTATTGAGGTAATGCTGGTTTACAATGTTGTATATGTTTCAGGGGGACAGTATTTCAGTCACAATATATAAATACATGTCTGGTTTTATACTGTTCACCTCCTGTTCAGACGGAGTGAAAATAGCATTATTTCTGTTTAAAGCAGCAGCATTAATTTTATATAAAGTATTCAGACTACAAAAAAATTAAAATACACAAATGAAATTTGGATTGAAACCTGAAATAATCCCCATTTTGGTTACTGTGTATTCTGTTGTTATTCACACAAGCATAAACACGTATCTACATCTGCCACATCCATTTATACTTACCTAATATGATTTTCATAAACGAATATTAAGACAGATTTATTTCTAGCACAGTTATTTTATTTATTTGTTTATTTATTGCTTTTTGGAGGGCCACACCCAGCAATGCACAGGGGTTACTCCTGGCTCTGCACTCAGGAATTACTCCTGGCGGTGCTCAGGGGACCATATGGGATGCTGGGAATCGAACTCAGGTTGGCCGCATGCAAGGCAAACGCCCTACCTGCTGTGCTATTGCTCCAGCCCCTAGCACAGTTATTTTAAATGTACTGGGGATGTTTGTCCTCTGCAGCACAGTTATTTTAGATGCATTGGGCATGTCTCTCCTCTCCCACTTACACACAGCCTTTCTGCTCATTTTCCTCCTAGTTCTTAGTGGTAACCAGCTAATGTACACATTTTTCTTTTTCATTGAATGCCAATGACAGTTCTCTGTTACATGAAGTTGTGTAATTTAGATTTCTCTGCATTGTCCATTTTTCACAGAACTTGTTCCACGTCCTGTAACATGTTCCAGGTCAGAATAGCTCATGTGTTGCCGACTAGATATTCTAAGACGGAGATAAGTAAATTAGAGTGAATGAGTTAAAGCCATGTGTTGTGTTTTTCTGCAAATCCTCTTGAAACATAGTTCTACCCATTTTTCTGCTGAACAGTGTAAACTTATTTAAGTTCTTTATCAGTTATCTCTGATCCATTCTCCCTCAACTTCTTTTGCTAGGATGCTGTGAAATGAAGGTTGTTGTTTTTGATAAGAACACCATTTTCTCTCTTTAAATTTTTTGTTTCTTTCTGAGAAAGGCTGGCAAGATTGTATATTTTTCTTCCAGATTGAGTTGGTGTAGTGTTTCCTTGTTTATCAAAATACTCGTATGGCTTTGGAATGTTGAACTTGTAAATATTCCTGGAGCGATAGCACAGCGGTAGGGCATTTGCCTTGCACGTAGCCAGCATGGCCGACCCGAGTTCGATTCTTCCGCCCCTCTCTGAGAGCCCAGCAAGCTACCGAGAGTATCTCGCCCGCACGGCAGAGCCTGGCAAGCTCCCCGCGACGTATTCGATATGCCAAACACAGTAACAACAAAGTCTCCAGTGGAGACGTTACTGGGCCCGCTCGAGCAAATTGATGAACCACGGGAGGATAGTGACGGTGACAGTATGAAAAAGGATGATAGGTAACCATACGAACTTTGTAACTTAATATACATACTTACACAACTAAATGTAGATTACTTGATTGTATAGATATTTGGATAGGACCTACAGGATATGTCAGGCATAAATGCTTGTAATTGTACATGACTTTGCATCATGTGTTTTTCGTTTTTCTGTTGTGCACATGTTAAAATAAAAATCTGGGAGCCAAAGAGATAACTCTGTGGATAATATGCTCCCCTTGCACATGGCCAACCCAGGTTCAGTCCCTGGCACCATGTATGGCTCCCTGAGCACAGAGCCAGGAGTAAACTCAACACAGCTGGCTGTCACTCTTACTTTAAAACCCTGGAAAAAATTTACCTTCTTTAGCTTTTAGGCATTTCCCCTCCTCCCCTTTTTTAAAGCAAAGCCAACAAAAATCGTTTTATTAAAGGATGGGAGAGAAGGAAAGAGGGAGGGAAAGATGGGTTCGAGGGTGAATGTGGGTTTCTCCAGAGGGGAGAGAGCTGAAGGTGCCCCTGAAGTTAAAGAAAAAACACATTTCAGGTGGACATCCTCAAGTTGCTGGCCAGCTGAGATTCTGAACCTATTTTGATTTTACGAACTTCCTTGCTCCAGAGTTATTCCTGTATTTTTCTGAAACCATAGTTTTTTTTTTTTAACATTTTTTTTTATTAGTGAAACACCAGGAGGTACAGTTATAGACTTACAAATTTTTGTGCTTGGGTTTCAGTTATACAGTGATCAAGTACCCATCCCTCCACCAGTGCCCATCCTCCCCCACCACAGGTCCCAGCCTCCCTCCCACCCCCTGTCCCCCCCCATCCCACCCTGCCTCTGTGGCAGGGTATTCCCCCTTGTTCTCTCTCTCTTCTTTTGGGTCCTGTGTTTTGCAAGAGAGGCATTGAGTGGCAATCATGTTTGGTCTATCGACTCATGAGTAGCATTTTAATGTAGTATGATTAAGATCAGATGACTTTGGTTATTTACCCATATGACTTTGGACATTCCAGTGTTTCATTTTCTCATCTAAAATTAGAATGGGCCAGAGAGATCATATAGGGGCTAATGGCCTTGCCTTGCATGAGACCAGCCTCTGGTTCAATCCCCAGAACTATTTCTGGTCCCCCACGCACCACCAGGAGTAACCTCATAGCACGGAGCCAGGAGTAAGCCCTGAGCACATCTGGGTGTGGTCCTAAAACCAAAATAATTAATGAAATGAGAATGATAAGAGTTTTATGTAAGATATTGGTAAAGATTAAAAGAGTTGCAAGTTGTAAAGAATGTTTAGAACATTATCTGATCCATAGAAACACATGTATTTATTACTTTTTGTGGGGAGGTGGCTAAATCTTTTATGTTAATACCCAGTTTCCTCGTTGTATTTATAGAGTAATTTCTGTCTGCCCATCACTGTGCCTCACTGTTGATTGTGAGGTTTTCAAGTATGTATAACTTTCTCTTGGGTGACTCGAGCTTGGTATATGGCTCTTTTTTTTTTTCTTTTTGGGTCATACCCGGCGATCCTCAGGGTTTCAGGAATTACTACTGGTGGTGCCCAGGGAACCTTATGGAAAGTTGGGAATCGAACCCAAGTCAAACGCCCTAACACTGTGCTATTGCTCCAGCCCCGGTATATTAAAATTCAAAATTTATGCTGTTAAAGTAAAATCGCATGAAGAGAGTGATACAGGTTGGCTAATAATGGAATGCTGTATGTGGTCTCCTTATTTTAAGCAGGAGGCATTTTCAGAAGTGGTCTGGTCTCCTAAATCAAAGATTCATAACAAAATACCCACCATGGTAAGTGGGCATTGGTGAATAAAAATAACGGAGCAAGTGTGTCATCCTGAAGTACTCTGTGATAACCCTAGAGCGCCTCCAATCTAGGGAGGACGTTAAACTTTCTGGGAAACAGCGACATCTGTCGAACACTGACAACTTCCAGCTCCTCAGTTCTGTCTCAGCTTTGATTGTTCTTCTGCCTTCATTTCAGTGCTGTGGTATCTTTGTGAAGTATCTGCGTTTTTCTACGTTGTGATTAGAAGCAAACATGAGCAGAAGTTAGTTCGGCAGGAATTGAACGTGGCCTGGAATCATTGCAGATGCCTTAGTTTCAGTGTCATCGAAGAGTTCAAGCCATGTTTCCCTAATATGATTTGTTGTCTCAGGTCTGATAGAGAGGTCTTTAGTCTATTTAGACTTGACTTTTGTGCATGGTGTTAAGAAAGGGGTTGAATTCCGTTTTTTTCCCCCATGATTGATAATTATTCCCAGAACCATTTGTTGAAGAGGCTTTTCTTGCTCCACTTCATAATCCCCCCCACCCCGCGCGCACACACACTTTACCAAAAACACAGTGGAATTCTACTGGAAGAAAAGATAAAATCATATCAGTTGTTAATATGTGGATGGATCTGGAGAGTATCTCATCGTGGAATATTAAGAAAAATAACGGGAAAAACAAATGGCCACAGGTATCAGAAACTTGGCCTCTCATTATCTGTATTGCAAACCATAATGCCCATAAGTAGAGAGAGAGTGAAAGGGAAATTGACATAGAAGCAGGGGGAGGGATGGGAGGGAGGGATATTGGGGACATTGGTGGTGGAAAGTGTACACTGGTGGAGGATGGGTATTCAATCATTGTATGACTAAAACGCAAATATGAAAGTTTTGTAACTATAGCTCAATGTGATTCAGTAAAAAAAAATCATAAGTGATGCCAAAAAAAAAAAAGCAAAGGTATCAGAAACTAAAAACAGGCCTTCAGGAGGAAGCTACCATAGGGAAGAGATGGATGCTAGGAGGTGGACAATGGGATAGTGGTGGAGGGAAGTGGGCATTCTGGTGGAGGGCCAGCTAACAAGGAACCCTTTTTTCTAATTCTACAAATGGTCAAGTTTTTATTTTCTAGTAAAAAGCAGATACTGCTTAGTAGCTGTTCGTAGTGAAACGACTCTAGGTAATTTATACGTGTGTCAATGCCGGTTGTGGCTTTAGTTCCTGGAAGAACCTGATACTTTAAAAATAATCTCTGGACACACACACACACACACACACACACACACACACATTTACAGGAATTGGAGTAAGTTTTACATGACTTTGTTCTTCTTGTTCTAGGAGCCAGCATTCGGACGTTCACTCCATTTTATTTCCTCGCGGAGCCAGTGGACACACTTTCAGTGAGAGGTGCTTCTGTCATACTAAACTGCTCGGCCTACTCAGAACCTTCCCCAAAAATTGAATGGAAAAAAGATGGAACCTTTTTAAACTTAGTATCAGATGATCGCCGCCAGCTCCTCCCAGATGGGTCTTTACTTATCAGCAACGTGGTGCATTCCAAACACAACAAGCCGGATGAAGGTTACTATCAGTGTATGGCCACCGTGGAAAGTCTTGGGACTATCGTCAGCAGAACAGCCAAGCTCACGATAGCAGGTGAGTTTTATTAAGTGCTTTTCTTTTAATATAAGGGAGGAAATCTTGATTAAAAGTCACTTCACTCTGGAGTTTTCATTTAAGTGATAACAGTGGTCACACTCACTTTGCAAGTATCAGTTGAACACACTTAGACTTGCTTCTTTTTATTTATTCTCTTTATTTTTTTCCTATTTTTTATTAGTGATACACCATGAGGCACAGTTGTAGACTTACAAATTTTTGTGCATGGGTTTCAATTATACAATGATCAAATACCCATCCCTCCACCAGTGCCCATTTCCCACCACCACGGATCCCAGTATCCCTCCCATCCCCCATCTCCCCCTATCCCACCCTGCCTCTGTGGCAGGGCATCCCCTTTTGTTCTGTCTCTCCTTTTGGGTGTTGTAGTTTGCAAAAGAGGCATTGAGTGGCAGTCGTGTTTGGTCTGTAGTCTACTTTCAGCATGCTTCTCCCATCCTGGGAGGAGGATCCCCCCCAACGCCCTTTATTTGGTGCTCCTTTCTCTATCTGAGCTCCCTTTTTCCCTAGCATGTGTGGCTGGGCTCCAAGCCATGGAGCACAATTCCTGGTACTAATCTCGGCCATTCTTGGGTGTTAGTCTCCTATTTTGTTACTTTATGTTCCCCAGATGAATGCAATCTTTCTATGTCAGACTTGCTTCTTCCTGTAGGGAATACGATAGGAAATAATTGTAAGAATTGTTCCTTTTTTTTTTTTTTTAATGATCTAGGTGGGGTAGAGTTCATCAGAAGTGCAACGCTAGTTCTGTTTAACTTGTAAATGGTGGAGGAATTTGTATAGAAAGTTGAGTCATTTTGGTTGGTAACTTTGCCCCTCCCCAGTATGGTCATTTAGCATGGCTTGGAAAAATGTGCATTGTGGCCATAACCGTGCTTCCTTTTCTGCCTTAGTCAAGGAAATACGATGCTTAGTTGGGTTGTTTAAAAAAATAAACTATGTATGGGACTGGGAACATGACTCCTAAGTGCTAGGGCCTATACCTAGCATGTGTGAGGCCCTGGATTTGATCTCTGGCACCCAGCAGCCCCTTTAGCACGGCAGGGTGTGGCCTTGGTTCCTGTACACACTGAACTGACCCTCAGGCCCTAAGGATGTCTGTGCCCCCCAGCTCTGCTGGGTACAACCCCTATGAAATACATGGGATATATGTAAAGATACACAGCATAAAATTGTAGAGAGAAAAACAGTTGTGTCCTTTCAGAGCACTCTTATCTGAAAAATGATGCAAGACATTTCTTATTGATTTATTTATAATGATTGCTATGTCATTAATGAAGTGGGCATTGATCCCAGGCCCCTGAAATAATCTGAAGAAGATAGGAGCCTGGGGTGCAATTTGAGGTGATATTTGTTTGCTTAAAGAAAGCAGTTTCTTTTTTTTCCAAGGAGGGGGCTAAGTAATTTTTCTTTTTTTTTTTATTGAAAAAGAAGTGGGCCTGCAAAATAAGTTTGGGAACCTCTGATAGGAAATGTAAAAAGTCTTCATTTTAGGATGGCGGGCCACACCCAGCAGTTCTCAGTCAGGGTTTACACCTGACTCTGCACTGTTTTGTATCACCACTGGCCGTGCTGTGGGACCATATAGGGTGCTGGGGATCGACTAAGCTGTGCAAGGCTGTGCCATACCTCCTGTTCTATCTCTCCAGACCCTGGAAAATGTAAAAACTTCTTAAGGATCGAAAATAGCAATACATTTTCCCTAAACAAAGCCTACATTTTTGTTTTGAGGTGGGGGACGCCTGCTGAGGGCTTACTTCTGGCTGTGTGCTCAGGGATCACTACTGGCACCTTCATGGTGCCAGGGATTAAACTTGGGTTAGGTATGTGCCAAGGCAAACCCTACCAGCTGTGCTATCTCTCTGCCCCAATCCCTCCATGTTTTTTGATAGTAGAGGCCAGCATCTCTTACCTCAGTGTTTCCTCACTTGATTTCCAGAGAAGGGCAGCTAGTGTTTGAGGAGGGTCCTCTTGTGCAGAGATCGTGTTGCCTTTAAGTCCTGTGTTTACTGTCACTCCCCTTGGTGAAATACTGGTATGCGAAAACAATCTGAGGTATGAGTCTCCCAGGCTTTCTCGCTGCCTATTAGTCCTGGCCTCTACCTTTCCTTCTCTCTCTCCTTCCCTGCTCGATTTGTTCATCTCTCCCCTTAACTTCCATTTTGCTCAGGAAACATTTACCTGATATCTAGGTAGACAGGAAAACTTCAGTCCAAGATGATAAACTCTGATGGTTGCAGATGAGATCGTGTGTTTACATGAGACTCGTTTGACCTGCTCTTTGCCCAGGTAATCAGGAGAAATCAGTATTTAATGTGAGAAATCAACAGAAGAACTTTTTATTTTATCAAGTTCTTTTATTTCTAAGGTTTTTTTTTTAAAATGTTATGAATGCACCACGATTTACAAGATTGTTCATAGTTGAGATCTAGACTCTACTACCATGTTCTAGCACCAGTTCCGCCACCAGTGACAAGTTCCCTCCACCAGTGTGCCCTGGTTCCCTTCTACCTCCCAACTCCCACCCAGCCTGCCACCTTGACAGGCACATGTCTAAGTTTATTATCATGTTTTCAGCGTTGTTGACTCTGGTTTGGATATTTAACTGTACCACTCCTTTGTAACGGGACTATACCCCTTGCTCCCTACTCCCCATTGCTTCCTTCCTTCTGCTGTTTTGTAGTAGTTGGAAATTGTCCATTGTACAAATATGTTGTGATTTATTTACACCCATTTTTGATGAAGTTAGACTAGTATGTTTTTGTGCTGTGATGAATAACCATTTGTGATTCTTTATTTCTGTATTTGCTAGGATTAGTAATTTTATTCGTGATTGGATCATAATGGTTGGATTGTAGGAGATAGTTGTGTGTGTGTGTGTGTGTGTGTGTAATTTTTTTTTTAAAAAAACAGCACTAAACTGTTGGGCAGTTTTTCAGTATGTGAAATACAGAATTACCATATAACCTGTAGGTTTTATTCCTAGACATCTATCCAAGAGAAATGAAAAGATATGTCTGCATAACCACTTACAAATGTTCGTTGATGCATTATTCATAATAGCCAAAAAAAGTAGCAACCTATATGTTTCTCATGTGATTAATGGATTGGGTAATATAATCCCAATTGGATTATTACCAGTATTTAATATGAGAATATTATTTAGCAAGTTGGAATATTGTTTAGCAAGTAGGAATAAGATATTGATATATGTTACAATGTGGATGTCAACAGTATGCTAGGTGAAAGAAACCTATCATGAAAGACTTCGTCTATAGTGTCTAAATGAACTCGTGCATTTTATGGTATATAAATTTGCATATATTGCATCTCAGTAAATTTATTTTTAAAAAAATAGCACCAAATTGCCGTTCTGAAAGACTTACTATTAAGAGTGTTGGTTTGGGTTGTAAGTAAACGGAAACTCACGTTGACCTAGCCAAGCAGGAAGGAGGGTTTTTGAAGGAACCCTCAGTAGTTTGCTCACATAATCGAATATGAGAGAACTTTTCCTCTAGCTGTCTCATTTCTCCATAGGGAAAAGTTCTTGCTTTACGATCTGAGTAGTGTCCTGACTGTCAGTGAGTGCCCTAAAGTGTGTGTGTGTGTGTGTGTGTGTGTGTGTGTGTGTGTGTGTGTGTGTGTCTGTGGCGGGGGTGGAGGGTGGATGCTTTAAGTACAGACACTATTGATCGTGTCTTGTCAGCTCCCAGCCTCACTCCCACTCTTGTTTCTTCAGCTCCTCTCCAGAGGCTGCAGGACAACCGGCCACCATCCTGTGCGCACAGGAAGCAGTAGCATTTTCGCTCTTAAATTATCACTGACTAGTTCCTCCATCTGCTTTGTCTCTGGAGAAACTTTGAAATCCCTTGTCTCCTGATTCCCCATATGCTGTTTTGGGTTTTTATTTTTAAAATTATTCATTTTCATGAGACCTCAGGGGAGAATATTTTGACTTTAAAAAAAACGGATCCAGCTCTTGACTTTATTTCATATTCCCTCCTCCCCCAAATCCTTACTAGTTTCTGTTTATTTTTGTAAATTCCTTTCTTCTTATTTTTAGGCTTTCTTATAGGTAGATATTTGATTAATTTTATTCTACCTTCTTCACAATCTTCTCAATTAAAAATTGTCACAGGTAGACAACCTGATAGTATATCATTTATGTTTGAATTAATTTATCATTATAAACCTACAAAACCAGGATTTGTTTCTTATTATGGTCTGTGTAAATGTTTGAAAAACTTTGTTGTCTTCTGAGCATGTCAGATCCCTTTTGAGATGCTTTTGTTAATAATTATAGTAATCAGTGCTGGAGGGCTAGTAAAGGGGTTAAGACACAAGCCTTGCATGCGACTACCCCGGTTTAATCTCTGGCCCCACACCATTCCCTGAACATTTCCAGGCGCGGCCCTGAGGTGCCCCTGAGCACCACGGGGATGGCTCTCGTCGAGAGGCACCACAAGGCGTGAAAAGTGCTACACGCTTGAGCTTGCATTTAACACGGGCCTCATTGTCTGAGAATTGCAGGTTACCACCCTTTAAAAAAGGGAAAAAGTAGTAATAGTAGCTAGTACTTTTCAAGTATTCAGGTTCCAGGAAATATATGCTATATAGAGATTATTTGTTAAGTGTTTAATAAATTTGGTGGGTGGGGGCCAGATTGTTTGGACCACACGCAGTGGTGTTGGGGGATTATTCTTGGCTTTGCGCTCGGCAATCACCCCTGGTGGTGCTCACGGGACTGAGTATGGTGCTGCGGATCTGACCAGGAATGGCCGTGTGCAAGCCAAGCACCTGGACTCCAGGGCTCTCGAGGCCCAAGTCTTTGATCATTTTAACAATCCTCTGCAGCCTCTTCTCACTCTACCTGCGGAGAAACTGAGGCTTAATGGTCAGGTTTTGTCAGAGCTATGAGGTGGCAGGGCTGGATTTCTGTGCAGATAATATTACTCAGAATTCATGTTGTTAGCCTCTCTGCGGTATTCATAACAGGTCTGCAGGTGAACATTTGTGTGATGCTTTGTTTTGAAATAACTTGAAACTGTGGAATCATTGCAAAAATGGAATGATGAAATCCCACATAGTCTTCACTCAGACTGCTTGATTATTAACGCTTAACCATCTTAACCATATCTGCCTTGTCACACCCCTGTGGCAGTAGACTATGTTAAAATACATGCCTATATGAAAATACAGTAAGAGTAAGTTGTAAGTATTGTAAATCACAGTGCCTAAAATTTTTTTAAAAATCAAAAATTAAGTTTCAATTGTATTTCTCATTCCCTTCGTATCCTTGAAGTATATATCCTAAAACTCAGGATATGTTCTTAAATTACCATCCATTAATTTCAGTAAATTAATGTTAATAAAGACTACCATTTAATAAGTTCATAAATACTATTCACGTATCACTGGTTGTCTCAATAATATGCTTCATAATCTTTTCTGGTCCGTTTTCATGTTTTGCTTAGTGGTTATGGCTCTTTAAACTCTTTTCCAAAAAAAAAAAAAGACTCATCCATTTCAAATCATTCTTAGATTGTCCTTGTCTTATTTATGGTTTATCTGATTTTCCCCTACGAATAGAATAAGGTTTGTCTTTTTTTGGGGGGAGACTATCATAGAAGTAATGCGAGGTTTCCTTACTGGTTATGTTAATTCTAGATACTTAAGATGAATGATTATGTTTTGCCATTGTAAAGTCAATACTTTCTTGTATCAACTTGGTACTTTTATCAATTAATAATAATAAGTATTGAGAATAGAATCATTTGGTACTGCCTAAATATTCTATTCCTCATACAAGTTTTACTGACTAGTTTTAGTGTATGTATTATCCTTTAGGACGTTATCATTATCCCAAATTCAGCCAGAGGAAGCTCCTTTTAGGGTGACTGCTATGTTTTTTTGATATGTTTACATTCTTAGGTCCTTTCTTTTACAAGAGGTTCACAGTCATCTTCTCCTGTACCTGTTCTAGCTCGGGAGTCAGCCTCTTCTCTAAAGAACGTTTGTTCCTGTAGTAGAGAATAGTATTCAGAAATCAGTCGGGTTCCCATATGTACTCATTGCTGCTCAAGTGTCATTGGTTCTGGGTTCCTTCTAGAAAAAAGTAGCATCCTGAGTGTATGTGTAATTGCACTGTATTTCACACATACTATTTATCAGTGTTGGTGTAACTATATAAAAACAAGTTTGTACTTTTGCCTCTAGCTCAGTACCATGGGATTTTTTTCCCTCTACACTCTGTTTTTCCATTTTAGTGTCCTTTTCAACTCTGAAGAATCTGATACCAGTTATCTCTAGGACATTTGTTTATTTGGTCTGTGTTGCTGTGTTTGGCTGACCATCTTCTGGACCCTGTTTCCTCTCTAAGTGTGACAGTACAGAATAACCTGCTTTAGGTTCCTGTGATCACATTTTAAATCAATATTTGACATTTGATGTCTTCTTTCTCCTTTTTTCCCAGGTCTTCCAAGATTTACCAGCCAACCAGAACCTTCTTCTGTTTATGCTGGGAATAGTGCAGTTCTGAATTGTGAAGTGAATGCAGATTTGGTTCCATTTGTAAGATGGGAACAGAACAGACAGCCTCTTCATCTGGATGATAGAATTATCAAACTCCCAAGTGGAACACTGGTCATCAGCAATGCAACTGAAGGAGATGAGGGACTGTATCGCTGTGTGGTTGAAAGTGGGGGCCCTCCCAAGTACAGCGATGAAGCTGAACTAAAAGTTCTTCCAGGTATTGGTTGTCAGAGCTGATGGTTTGTTTATTAATGGAATAAAATTATTTTTAGGCTGTTTTGAAAAACAATTCTGTGTTATGGCATTAATCAGTACAGAAAGTGAGTTTGTTAAAGGGCGTTAAAAGAAGACGTCAGTGAAAGGTTATCAGACAGTGAAGTTTATTCAATATCTGGCATTGTTCTTGGCTGAAGAAACATCACTTTTGCATCTCTTGCCAAGCCCTTATTTTTTGCTACCTTCCCAGTGTAGATTACTTTTCTGTTTGTTTGTTTGTTTATTTTGGGACCATACCTGGAGATACTCAGAGCTTACCCCTGGCTCTGCGCTCAGGGATCACTTCATGTGGTACCGGCAATTGAATTGGGGTTGGCTGTGTGCAAGACAGGAGGCTTAACAGCTGTGCTACCTCATTTACCCACAAGGATTTTTCTCTAACTGTTACCTTCCTGTTATAATATACTTTTTGTAAGAACCAGAGAGTCACAAATACATGTAAACAGTAGTCGGAGCAGTAGCTGTTAATAAAGTTGCTCAGGAGACTGGTCAGCCAGAATTCTCAGATATTTATAATGTCCACCTTCTTAATTGAATGTTTAAATTTTTTTTATCCCGTTTTAAACTCATCTTTTCTTTTTCATCTTTCCTTCCTATATCCTTATCGACTTTCTTCATCCTCTTGTATAGTTTATAATCACGTAATTTCTGCTTATCCATCACTCCCTCTCACTCATATCACAAATATCAGTGATGTGTATAACTTCTTCATCTTTTATGACCACCATTGTTAGATGCCTAACTCTTTCTGTATTTCTTATTTTAAGCCTGAGTTTATGAATATACTCAGACCATCCCTACATTGTTCTGGCAGAAGTTTTCATACATGACTTCATAGGCTCAATTTTAGCCATGGATTTGAGCTTTCAAGAAGCCTAGCAAAGTGCTTTGTGTATCAGAGTTATTTATGGTATGTTTGCTGATCAGATAAAATCGTCTCAGGGGCCAGAGAAATAGTACAGGAATTAAAGTACATGTCTTGTATGTGGATGAACCAAGTTCAGTGCTCACCACAGCATCCCTGCCACCACATGTGGTTCCCAGGGCCCTGCTGGAGTGATGCCTGGGTGCAGAGCCAGTTGTAAGCTTAGAGCACAGCCAGGTGTGGTTCAGACTACCCTGCCCAATGGAGTTTTCTTATGTCACTTTGACTATAAATACCTTTATTACATGAATTCACAGAGACCAAATAGATCACCTGCTGTTCTTCATCGTTAAAGTGGCAAAATGCTTTCTCAATTGCATACTCTTACTTTTCAGATGCTGAAGTTGCAGCAAACTTGGCATTTTTGAAGCAGCCTTCCTCCTTGGTCAGAGTTGTTGGTCAGAATGTGGTGCTGCCGTGTGTCGCTTCTGGACTTCCAACTCCAGTCATCCGGTGGATGAAAAATGACGAGGTTCTTGACACACAAAGGTAATGCTGGTGGCCTAACAACCTTTTTCATTCTTGGGGCTTTGTCTGATTCTATTGAAATTGTGGATTAATGAATTGGTTTTGTACTTTTTTCTTTTTTGAGCCACACTCGGTAGTGCTGAGGGTTTACTCCTGGCTCTGCACTCAGGGGTCACTCCTGGCAGTGCTCTCAGGCAACCTCTGGGAAGCCGGGTATCAAATCTGGGTCAGCTGCATACAGGAAAGCATCCTACCCACTGTATTTTGCCCCAATTATCTACTTTCAATTTAAACATTTTTAAATGCTCATTTCAAAAAAATATGTGCACCAGATGTAACATAAAGGTAAGAACTTTTGAAATATTAGGGGATAATTTTTCCACTTGTTCTCTAAGCTGCAGTATACAGGGTTAAGTCTCACGGTTTCCTTCCCTAAATTGCTTCCTAAGAGTTTCAGTCCTGACTCGCCTCATCTTCTTGATAATATTTTTTTGCCTTTACTCAACAGGAAAAAAATGTATCCCTTATCCTTTTCATTTTACCTGGTAAAATACCGGGCTTACTGGGGCCACAAAGACAGCACAAAGTGCTACACATGCTTACAAGATCCTGGGTTCACTTTCCAGCACCACGTGGTCCTCCAGCACCTCAGGTAGTTGCTCTGAGCACAGAGCTGGGATTAGCCTTGTCACCACTAGGTGTGGCCTAAAAAACTGAAAAGAAAAGAAAATAACAGCCTTCATGATCACAGCTTTTCCTTTTTTTGATTTTGTTTTGTTCAGGGGCCACACCTGCCCGTACTCAGGTTTACTTCTGGCTCTGCTCAGAGATAACTGCAGGTGGTGCTCCGGGGACTGTTTAGGGTGCCAGGAGTTGAACCTCAGTCAGCCATAGGCAAGCCAAGCACGTCTGCCTTGCACGCGGCTGACCTGGGCTCGATTCCTCCGCCCCTCTCAGAGAGCCCAGCAAGCTACCTGCTGCACCTCTCTTTGGCCCCCATGATTGTTTTTTCATACCACAAAAGGGCATAAGCTGCACTGGTTATCCTTCCCATCCCCCTCAACGCTTCCTCGTGTAATGGGTACTTCTCTCATTTCTGTTCTGCTCAGAGGATGCCATAGGGATGAGGTACATTTTGCTTCTAGAATCAAGTTGTTTTGTTTGGTACAGAATGTTCAGTAACATCCTGGTTTTGTCTAGACCTGCGTGAGCATTCCCAAGGTGTAACAAACTAAACCATAGAGACAGAGATAATGCTGGCTCTAACTGGGTGGGGCACAATTGTCCCCAGTTGAAGTTTTGTGCCCAGTACTAGAGTCCTAACCCCCAAAATAGTGGTTAGAGACCCAGATTGTACTAAGCTGACACGGTAGCACTGTAGCACTGTCCTCCCCTTGTCCATCGATTTGCTTGAGCGGGCACCAGTAATGCCTCCATTGTGAGACTGTACTGTTTTGGGCATATCGAATATGCCATGGGGAGCATACCAGGCTCTGCGTTACAGGCAGGATACTCTCAGTAGCTTGCTGGGCTCTCTGAGAGGGGCGGAGGAATCGAGCCCAGCTCAGCCGCGTGCGAGGCAGACGTCCTACCCGCTATGCTATCGCTCCGGCCCAAACTGACACTAGTAAAAAAAAAAAAAATTATTAGGCACCCTTATCTATTGCTAATCATAACACCTCTTTGAAAGTGATTATTTTATTTATTTATTTTCATTTTTTACTTTTTGGGTCACACCCAGTGATTCACAGGGGTTACTCCTGGCAGTGCTCAGGGGACCATATGGGATGCTGGGAATTGAACCCGGGTTGGCTACATGCAAGACAAACGCCCTACCCACTGTGCTATTGCTCCAGCCCCTGAAACATTATTGTAGCTTTTTATAAGTGCCCTTAGAGTTTATATAAACTTTTTATAATTAATAATAATTTTGTTCAATGTATTTTTTAAATCCAAACCAGACATAGCTATTGGGGAGGGTGGTAATAGTGGAAACTTATTCTATTCATTGAGTAGTTTTATTAGTTAATAGGTAAGTTAATATATGGGTTTTGATCCATGCCCAACAGTGCTCAAGAGTCACTTTATCCAGTGCTTTGGGATCCTTTAAAATCCCTGGTAAAAGGGATTGAACCAGAGCCAGCCACATGCAAGGCAAGTGTCATCATTTAGAGGAGGGAGGGTTTTAGCCGTACCTGGTGATGCAGGGCTTAGTCCTGACTGGGTTCAGGGAACCGTGTTGGGTGCCAGGGATTGAACTTGAGTCAGCCACGTATAAGGCAAATAGTATCTTAACCTCTGTACTATCTCTCTGGCCCCAAGTAGTTTTGCTTTAAAGGGGAGAGAACCCAGAAAATGTAAATGCTAATGTATAAGGTGAATGACAGCAAAATTTAAATTAGCAATCAAATGTTACTTTTCAGTGGAATGACGGATCACAATGAGCTGCAGAGGTTATAAAAATACTTAATGTGACTTCAGGTGAAATAGAAAAATAGTGTGTATATATATATTTATATATATATATTTTCTATTTAATAGTAAATAGAAAAATATATATATATTTTGCTTTTTGAGTCACGCCCGGCAGTGCACAGGGGCTACTCCTGGCTCATGCACTCAGGAATTACTCCTGGCGGTGTTCGGGGGACCATATGGGGTGCTGGGAATCCAACCCAGGTGGCCGCATGAAGTGCAAACGCCCTCCCCGTTGTGCTATCGCTCCAGACCCGAAAAAATTAATTTTTAAAAAAAGCAGAAGACTTCCACCTCTGGGATCCACCTCTGGGACTATGGAGTTGGTGCCTTTTCCCCCGTTCTTCCTCCTAGAAACAACTAAAACACCCTGGGCCTTCTCTTTATGATTTAGTGAAAAACAAAAAGAACCTAGGAAAACAGAGGAGAGAGAGAGGGAGATTGACTGGTAATGAACCTTTCAACCCCCGGAACAATGATGGTGAATACCCAGAGTGTCATTTTTGCCTCTTCTTTGCTGACTTGAAGGGAAGTAGCCTGGCAAACTGCGAAGATCCACAGGCATATACATAAGGCCCTAAGTGAAATGTGCTGCCTCCAGTCAGGAGTGGGGAAGTGGAACGCTGAGGAGAGAAAAGTCTTCAGACTATAGAGCTCCTCCCACTGCACCAGCAGCCCTCAGGAAACAATGACCCATTCTTCCCTCCACTGGTGCCAGCAGAGTCCCTCTCCAGGCCCTATGGAGGGGCTCCAGTGTCCTGCTGCCCCATCCAGAAGCTGAGTCAGGCGCCAAGATTTCCACCCTGGCCCCTGCTGTGGTACAGGCTTAACCTGGGGAGTCTCCACTGAACGCTACATGGCTAAGTGGTGCTTCTTCCCTCAGGCCTGCACAGGGATGGTGCCAGAGGAGGCCAGTGGATGGGTGTAAAAATCCCAGTGGAGGGGCTGGAGCGATAGCACAGCGGGTAGGACGTTTGCCTTGCACACAGCCGACCTGGGTTTAATTCCCAGCATCCCAAATGGTATCCTGAGCACCACCAGGGGTAATTCCTGAACGAAGAACCAGGAGTAACCCCTGTGCATCCCTGGGTGTGACCCAAAAAGAAAGAAAAAAATCCTACTGGATAGTCACAATTCTCACCACACTGAGGCCCCCTCCCCCGCCCCATGCTGTTGGTGGATGCCACATGGGAAATGATAATGAGGCACTTCGCAATTCTGGGAGAGAGAGCACCCAAGGTAAGGTAGGGTGCTTGCCATACCTGATCATCAGCACTGCAAGGGGGACCCTACCACCACCACGAGTCACTCTCGAGCATAGAACCAGAAATCTGGGCCTCCCTAGATGTGGGCCCCCCCCCCCATCTCTATAACCAGATAAACAAAAACAAAAAGGGCAAAGAAGCAGAACCCCGAGCCCTCTTAGGGAGTAGTGAGGCCTCCCTTCTCCCCAGGGGCTAATCAGCACTGAGTGGGAACCTGGATTTCTGCTTCCATTTGGCAGTAATGAGGAACGCCCTCCCCCTCCGCCTTAGACAAGGAGCCAGCTCTTATCAGAAGAAGCCAGCCGAAAGAAAAGATTTGATAAGACCAGCATGTTGTAACATAATGCCCTGGGTAGCCAGACCTCAACTGAAAATCACTCACCATGCAGGGAAATCTCAAATGAAAAGAGAGAATCAATAGATGGCAGAGCTGGCAAGGCAGGTTTTAGAGTGGTCTAGGTTTTAAAGGTTTTAAAGCAGGCCTCAGGAAAATGCTTCAGCAAGCACTTACGAACAATCTTGAAATGAGTGTAAAGATAGGCTATCTCAGGAAAGAAAATGAAGTCTCCTCCAAGAACCAGAAAATTGAGGAGAAAGTAGACAGCTCCAAGGGCTGATTGAATGCTTTGCTAGTGAGGGAAAGCCTGGGTTCAGCCTGGGTTCAGCCCCTGGCATCACATAGTCCCGACTACTGCTGGGAGCAACTTCTGAACTTTGAGCTGGATGTAGCCAGATCACTACTGGGTATGCCCCCTTCCCCCTCCCCCCAACAACAACAGCAGCAACAATAACAGAAAAATTTAAAGAACTAGATAGGAAATTTTGAAATCTGGACCATAACAAAATGAAAACCTCGGCAGATGGGTTCAGCAACAGTCTGAAAGGGACAGAGGAAAGATTCAGTGAACACAGTGAACACAGAACACAGAAGAACACAGAGGAAGAGGAAATATTATACACAATATGCCATGTAGATTTGACAATTTACACAAAATAAATATGTGATATGTACACATAAATAAAATCACATCTGACCTCATATGAAGTATTCATGCAAATAGCTCTGAAACTGTGAAGGAGAAAGGTGCGTTTTTAATATTAAGGAGAGAGGTGCATTTTTTAATTTGTAGTTTGAAAACTCCCAACAAAGAAATCTTCATGACTAGTTTCTTGTAGAATTTTACCAGTGTTTAAAGAAAGAGCAATCCCAGTTCCAGACAGTCTCTCCAGAAAATAAAAAGAAGCAGTTGAAAGTTGATACTGCCTGAGATCAAAAGTAGA